GGGGGGGGGGCGGGTGCGGCAGGGGGGGAGCGCGCGGAGCGGGGGGCTCAGCGGGGGGGGGGCGGGTGCGGCAGGGGGGGAGCGCGCGGAGCTGGGGGCTCAGCGGGCGGGGGGCGCCCCCGGGCGCCGGGACCCCCGCGGCCGCGGGCGCTCATATACGCGGCCCGGACGGCGCAGTGTGCAGGTGCAGCAGGCGCGGGGCGCGCGGAGCTGGGGGCTCAGCGGGCGAGGGGCGGGGCGGGCTCACCTGAGCGTAGTAGACCAGCCACAACTCGTAGAGCCGCTCCGAGGCGGCCATGGCCCGGCCCGGCTCTGGCCCTGCTGCGCGCCACCTGTCGTCGCCTCCTCCGCGCCGCCCGCCGGTTGCCCCCGGCCAGGCCCATGGGCGGAGGGCGTCACTCCGGGGCGGAGCGGCGCGGTACTACCGGGGGAAGTCCGCGGCTCTGCCCCCGCCGCGCTGAGCCACCCAAGTCTGCACGCTCCTCCTCCTCCCGGCCGGCCGCCGCCCGGCTTCCTGCACTTCTCTGTCGCCACCGCCGCCCCGCCTCTCCCGGGACCGTGCACAGGGCTGGGAGCCCCGCGGGAGGAGGAGCCTGAGGTCAGGACGGCCCGGGAGGGCGCTGCCGCTCCGCCCCCCGCAGGCCGCGCCCGCACCGGTACCTCTGGAAGGGCCAGTTTGCGCCACCGGGACTAGGGTCGAGGTCAGGAATACCAAACTTGCTCTGGGTCTGGGTCTGGGTCTGCCCGCACGCAGCCGGCCTGGCTGGAGTTGCTGCAATTCGGGGAAGGGGCTGCGGGCCGCGTGGGGATGGCCAGAGTCCTTCAACAAGTAATAATAACCACCACCACCACTACCATCACCACGACCACTTGTAGCGCTTACCACGTGCTAGGTGCAGTTGTGTTTAACGGGAAGACCGAAATGCCACTTTTGAGTTTCTGCTGTTTGTGGAGCGGGATGGGAGGACCAGAGAGCAGCAGACAAGCCTGGGATACCTCCGAGGGAGCGGTGCCCTCTGTCCATCGGGCAGAACTCAGGGAGATTTACACAATCCCCGCGGGTTCCCTCTCTCCAAGAAGCCTTCCCAGAAGTTCCAATGGAGGTACTCCCCACCACCCCCGCAGGGTCCAGCATTTGCTTCACAACTTTTGTTCCTTTAACCTCATGAAGTGGGTGCCTTATGCCTGTGTTTTACAGATGGATAAAACATTCTGGCAGCCATGAACAGCACCTTGTACCGAGCCTGCCTGTGAGGTAAGGGGCCCCCTGGTGTTGTGTAGGGTTCAAGCCCTTTCTTGGAGTGGGAGCGTGGGGGTGGTGGAGTTTTCCGGGCCTAGAGAAATGCCATTGGTCCTAGCAATTGACCAGTCTGGAGGCCCCTAAACTTTGGATGGCCAAGAGAAGAGAAATTCTTTCCCCATCCCTGTCCTGTTCTGTCTTCCTGGCTTCTTGGGTGGCTCTTCCAGTCTTAATTTTTCTCCTGCCCCATCCCTTCTAGCTCTGAGCTGACATTTCCTGAGCACCTACAATCTGCATGCCAGGCCCTGGCAGGGCACTCTACCCACTACAGGGGAGAAGGCCTAGACAGACCCAGGTTAGTGAGGTCAAGCGTGTTGGGAGGTGGGTGCTGGACCCGGGGTCTGTGGCATGTGGACCTCTGATGGGAGTTGGGAGGGGAGGAGTGGGCGTCCACTTATTGTCAGTCTGGGAAGGGAGGCCATAGACAGGGAACAGCCTTGATAAGAGGCTAGTCATCCCCTGGGAGTGAGGGAGAGGGGGGATGGCTCCTATTCCCAGAGGAGAGGGGGCGTGGCTTTGGGGACCCACAGGATGACAGAAGATCTTGACTTCGGCCGAAGTGGTCTCTCTGTTACTAGGGCACACTGATTAATGCAGGAAAGAAGACCCTCACAGTTTCTGCTGTGGAGCCATGCACCTTGTGGCTACTTGCTGCAGTTGAGGCCAACGCAATTCTTCCTAAGCTCAGGGGGATTTCTTGGGGCCCCTTGGGCCCAGGCTGGGGCTTGTTCTTCTCTAGGGAGGGTAGCCTGACCTTGGGTACTTTGCCACTCCAGGAAGGGGTGGAAGTGAGAGGGCATCATCTGTGAACCCAGAGGGAAAGGGCCATCCAGCCAGGTCCCTCACTGCACAGGATTTGTCTTGAGCAGAGTGGCCACAGAGGAGCTTGGGAACACTTGGTCAGATGAATCCGGGGAGCCACTGACAGCTGTAGAAGAGGATAGAGGCAGACCTCATGTTAGGGTGGGATAGGAGTGGAGCTTCAGGGAAGGCTTCTTGAGGGCATTTGAGTCTTGAAGAATCAGGACAAGTGGACAAGAATGAGTCAGTGGGTCAGGGGCACTCCAAGAGGCTGGTATGAAGTGAGCTGGTGTTTAGGCAAAACCAGAGCGATCGATGTAGTCTATTCTTCTCTCAGGTCTTACTCGATTTGCTGCTTTCTCAGATTGCGTTGAATAAACCTAGACCTAGCACCTTTTTGTTATTTGCCGGCTCCCCACCACTAGGCCAGTTGCCCCGGAGGAAAAGGGCGGGACCTTCCATAGCTCAGCATTGATTCGCTTTCAGGACTTCCTGCTTTCCTATTCTCGTCATTGGATTGGCCGTCAGGCATTCTTCTACTCTCCTTGGGCCTGCGCAATGCAGGCCTAGGGAAAAGGAAGGGGTCGGAGGGGAAGATGGCGGCGGCTGCGGCCGGTGTGGGCCGGCTAGAGGAAGAGGCGCTGCGGCGAAAGGAACGACTGAGGGCCCTACGGGAGAAAACTGGGCGCAAGGTGAGAAATGCGGAGTCAGGGCCGAAGCGGAGGCAGCCAGCGTTCGGGTCCGGAACAGTGGGGAAAGGACAGGAGACTACTAGGGAGAGACAGCTGCTGAGGGCGCGCATGCGCGGGCGGCAGGAGCATGCGCGGGATGACTGCGCCCGCCCACGAAGTCTGCAGCTCCTGAGCCTGGGACTCTTCTACCGCTAGTGTGGTCGTCGCGCACGCGCGGGAGTGGGTGGGGGCCGTGGTCAGTGAGCCGCAGTCCCTTTGGTGCTGGCCTGCTGGATGTTACTTGTGTGGGTGTCCGGGGCCGCTTGCGAATGCTTGTTGCGTTCGGCCTCATGTGTTCCGTTTCTCCGTGGCCTGGCCGGCCTTTTGCCCCCACGCTAGATTCCCTGAGTCTGGCAGACCCTCCGCTGTCTGACAGGGCAGCAAGTGACTGTGCTCTGGGCATGCAGCAGGAGTCTTGAGTGCAAAAATCCAAAAGAAAAAAAATCATTTTTAGGTCAGGGAGGAAGAAGGGCGCTTAGTTCTTTCCCAGGCTGCTTCTCTGGGGATGAGCCTACTAGTCCTATTCAGTCGCCAAATTGGGGAGTATTTTTTCTTGCTTTCGTTGGACCCCAAAATGGGCTGATTCTATTTCTACTTTGTTTATCTTTCCGAAGAAATGGAGAGGAAGGAGGATTCTGAAGTTCAGTACCTGTGTGCCAACCTCAGCCAGACCTGTCACTTGGGGCTGTGGGACTTGGACAAAGTCATCTCCTTGAGCCCGAGTTTCTTCATATCTCCAGTGGGGGACAACAACCCCTACACGTTCATTCTCCCCGAGTTATTTTGAGATCTAATGGGATAATCTGTGTGAAAGAGCCCTAGAAACCAGAGAGGACGAAGGTTATTGGTTCTGCTTTTGGATGAGTGAAAACTGTGTCCTTCATTCTAGGAAGTACAAAGAATATTAAATATCTATACCTGTGTGTGGGGGTGGGGTGGGGGGTGGGGTTGGGAGGACAGGGATTCCACTTTTCAACTTTAAAAAACAGGTTGGCTCGTTTTCCTTTCTGCAAGGCTGTCAGGTGTCTTGTGGGAAAGCCAAAGGGGAAGTAATAGAGAGTGAAAGCTGGTCAGATTGGCTTTTGCTTTTGTTGGCAGACTGTTGAACTTCTTAGACAGTTAACTCCGAAACTGCCTGGCCCAGGGAAGCTCAAGCCTCAGCCTTTCAAACAGTGGCTAGTCCACCTGAGCTGTTTGTTTGTATTTAGGGCCTGGATTATTGGGGCTGGGTTTGAGGTCAGAAAACGGGGGACAAAGTAGTATCCTCAAAGCCGACTGCCATGGGAAGGATGTGCATAAGGCCATCAGGAGGACTGGCCTTTAAAGAGGGATTCTCTCAATAGTCTGGAAATGTGGCCTGATGGTTTTTTTTTTTTCTGTATTTTTAAAATGGCGGTAAAATGCTCGTAAAATTTATCATTTAAACCATTTTAAGTGTACAATTCAGTGGCATTAAGAACATTCATACACACACAAAAGAACGTTCCCGTTGTTTTGTAACCATATCACAATCTATTTCTTGAACTTTTTCATCATCCCAAACACAGAAACTCTACCCATTAAACAATAATTCCCATTCCCCTTTCCCCCCGGCCTCTGGCAACCACCATTCTACTTTCTGTCTCTCTGATTTTGACTACTCTAGGTACCTTATATAAGTTGAATAATATAGTACTTATCCTTCTGTGACTGCTTATTTCTTTTTAGTATAATTTCTTCAGGATTAATCTGTGTGTCAGAATTTCATTCCTTTTTAAGGGTGAATAATATTGTATGTATGTACCACATTTTGATTGTCCATTCATCTGTTGATGAACTTTTGCGTTGCTTCTACCTTTTGGCTATTGTGAATAAGGCTTCTATAAACATGGTAGTATAAATATCTGCTTGAGTCTCTGCTCTAAATTCTTTTGCATGTATACCCAGCAGTGGTGTTCTATGTTTAACTCTTTGAAGAACCACCATATTGTTTTCCATAGTGGCTGCACCTTGCGCAGCAGTGTACAAGGGTTTCATTTTCTCCACATCCTCCCCAATATTTTTTCTTTTTAATTATAGCATCCTAATGGGTGTGAAGTGATAGATCATTTGGTTTTGATTTTCATTTCCCTAATGGTTAGTGATGTTGAGTATCTTTTCATGTGTTTATGGCCATTTGTATATCTTCTTTGGAGAAATGTTTTTTTAGGTCATTTGCTCATTTTCTAATTGAATTGTTTGGGGTTTTTTGTTGTTTGGTTGTAGGAGTTCATTTTATATTCTGGATATTTATCTCTTATCTGATGTATGATTTGCAAATATTTTTCCCATTCCCTGGATTGTCTTTTCACTTTTCTGATTATGTCCTTTGTTGCACAAAGTTTTTAATTCCTTTTTTTTTTTAATTTTTAATTTTTATTTATTTTTATTTTTATTTTTTTAAAAGATGACCGGTAAGGGGATCTTAACCCTTGACTTGGTGTTGTCAGCACCACGCTCACCCAGTGAGCAACCGGTCATCCCTATATGGGATCTGAACCCATGGCCTTGGTGTTATCAGCACTGCACTCTGCCGAGTGAGCCACGGGCCGGCCAAAAGTTTTTAATTTCAATGAAGCCTAATTTATTTATTCTTTCGTTGATCCTGTTTTAGGTATCATACCTAAGGAACCATTGCCAAATCTAAGATCATAAAGTTTTTCCTCTGTTTTCTTGTAAGAGTTTTTATAGTTTGAGCTCTTATCTTTAGGTTTTTGTTCCAATTGGAGTTAATTTTTGCATATGGTATTAGGTAAGGGTCCATTTGTATTCTTTTGCATGTGCACTATTTGTTGAAAAGACTGTCTTTTCCCCATTGAATGGTCTTGGCACCCTTGTCAAAAATCCTTTGACCATATATGCAAGGGTTTATTTCTAAGCTCTCTATTCTGTTCTGTTGGTCTGTCTGTTTGTATGCCAGTACCACACTGTTTTTATTATTGTAGCTTTGTACTTTGTAGTAAATTTTGAAATCTGAAAGTGTGAGTCATCTAACTTAGTACTTCTTTTTTTTTTTTTTTCCTTTTTCGTGACCGGCAACGGATCGCAACCCTCAGTGTCGCGCCCGTACCGGACCGGGACCGGCCACGGGATCGCAACCCTCAGTGTTGCTCCCGCCCCTCACTCAGCCAGTGAGCAGCCGGTCTGTATGTGGGATCCGAACCCTCGGCGGGAGTGCCACCGCGCTTCTCAAGCGGCGCACTATAGCAGTGCGCCACCGGGCCGGCCCCTAACTTAGTACTTCTTTTGTCAAGATTGTTTTGACTGTTCAAGATCCCATAAGGTTCCATATGGATTTTAGTACAGGTTTTTCTATTTCTGCAAAAGATACTGTTGAGATTTTGTAGGAATTGCATTGAATCCGTAGATCATTTGGGATACTATGACCATGTTAATAAACAAGTCTTCCAGTTCATGAACATGGGATGCCTTTACACTTATTTAAGTTGTCTTTAATTTTTTTCAGCAATGTTCTCTTTTTATCATTGTACAAGTCTTTTGCCTCCGTGGTTAAACATATTCCTAGATATTTTGTTCTTTCTGATGCTATTGTAAATGAGATTGTTTCTTAGATTCTTCTTCAGATTGTTTATTGCTAGTATATAGAAATGCAACTGATTTTTGTCTTTTAATTTTGTATCCTGTAACTTTTGCTGAATTTGTTTATTAGCTGTAAGTTTTTTGTGAACTCTAGGGAGATCATATCATCAGTGAACAGAGATAATTTTACTTCTTCCATTACAATTTGGATGCCTTTTATTTCTTTTTCTTGCCGAATTGCTCTGACTAGAGCTTTTAGTACTGTGTTGAATAGTAGTGGTGAAAGCAGGCATCTTTGTCTTGTTCTTGATCTTAGGGGAAAAGCTTTTATTTTTTTTAAAAAGATGACTGGTAAGGGGATCTTAACCCTTGTCTTGGTGTTGTCAGCACCACGCTCTCCCAAGTGAGCTAACTGGCCATCCCTATATAGGGATCTGAACTCATGGCCCTGGTGTTATCAGCACCACACTCTCCCAAGTGAGCCATGGGCCGGCCCTGGGAAAAGCTTTTAATCTTTCACCATTGAGTATGATATTAGCTGTGGGTTTTTCATATGTAGTTTTTGTCATGTTGAGGAAGTTTTCTTCTAATCGTAGTTTTTTGAGTGTTTTTCTCAGAAAGGGAGTTAAATTTTGTCAAATGCTTTTTCTGCATCAGTTGAGAATCTTTGTGAGGTTTTTTCCTTTATTGCGGGTACTTCAGAATTTTGTGGAAAAACGGAATTAACAGATAATATAAGTCTTTCCATAACTTTTTGAAGGCCCCTTGTACTATTAATATATTACGTAGCTCAATTTTTATATATTGGGCCATCCCTGTATTCCAGGAATAAATCCCACTTGGTCATGATGTATAATCCTTTTAATTTTTTTTTTTTTTTAAGATGACCGTAAGGGGATCTTAACCCTTGACTTGGTGTTGTCAGCACCACGCTCACCCAGTGAGCTAACCAGCCATCCCTATACGGGATCTGAACCCGTAGCCTTGGTGTTATCAGCACCACACTCTACCGAGTGAGCCACGGGCCGGCCCTTCTTGGTGAGTTTTGCATTAGTATTCATAAGGGATATTGGTCTGCAGTTTTCTCTTCTTGTAGTGTCTTTGTCTGGCTTTGGTACCAGGGTAATGTTGATCTCATAGAATGACTTAGGAAGGAAGAGTTTGAGAAATGTTTGTATTAATTATTCTTTAAACTTGTGCTAGAATTCACCAGTGAGGCCATCTGTCCCTGTTTCTTTGTTGGGAGATTTTTGGTTATTTATTCAATCGCCTTGCTAGTTACAAATCTATTTAATTTTTTTTATTTCTTCATGAATCAGTTTAGGTGCATTATATATTTTTAGGAATTTGTTCCATTTGGTATCCAACTTGTTGGCATACCAATTGCTAGTTTAATTGGATTA